ATGCGTTACGTAATGTGTTGTGAATTTTTTGCAAAGCTGGCTTAGTGATAACAACCAGTTATAATCTTGTACTGTTAAAACATGGAGGCTGAGGTCTGCACAGCTGTCAGCGTGGCTATAAGCCACAAGGGAGCCACGTAAGATCAATAACAACCTGCTTAAGGTGTCAGGCTCATGACCTCTGGGAGGCAGGAAATGCTGTGTTTTCACTCATAAACCTGCAGCTTCATGGAATCACAAAGTGTAGTTTAGACGTCCTTCATCAGCCTGAGCTTTGTGCAGGATGCAGGCTCAGACTGTCGTTAGCATACAAGTAATTGATAGTAGTGATGCACGATATTGGATTTTTGTTAATATCTGATATGCAGAAATGTTCCCTCACACCTCTGACTGATTGTAGAGACGTACACATGTTTCTTTAACACCTAATTACATCCATTATTGAGTCTCTTGTGTAGGAGAATTAGTGCATCATTATACCGACTGTGGACATAAAATACAGAGTTGTTCAGCTGTAAACCAGGAAAAAGATGCTCCTCCTAAAAATACTGTTTGTTTTCTGTTAAAATATCTGCATATATTGAACATTGATATAGTTCATACACAAGAATGAGAGTTAAGTGAACAAACATCATAACAGACTTCAGCTTTGTTCGTATAAAACTAAACGTAAATCTTCCCCAGGTTGCCTCATGAGTCATTTCAATGACGTACAAACTTCCTCTATACGTGTATGAACTTCATCTTTAAAGTTTGAAGTTGTTTTGACTTTAGCAGCAACATAAATGTTAGCTAATGTTTAACAAAAAAAAACTTATGACGTTACGACTAATTAATTTAGAAACCATGAGCCGAGGGCTAAAGTTTTAACTTTACTGTAACTTTATTATCATTTATATTTAATGATAATTGATTAGATTAGTATAGTGCTTTTCTAGACACTCAAAGTCGCTTCATGCTGTCAGTTATTCATTCACACATCCATCCCGGTGGTGGTAGCTCCGGTTGTAGCCACAGCTGCCCCGGGGCAGACTGACAGAGGCCTGGCTGCCATTCTGCCCTCCTACCACCACCTCAACAATCCATTCATACACATTCACACCAGGCAGGGTGGGGTAGGTGTCTTGCCCAAAGACACAACGACCATGACGCAGGTTACAGGACGGAATCGAACCGCCGACCTTCCGATCACTGACCGACCCGCTCTGCCACAGCCGCCCCGTGGTTCAGGTTCAACAGCATGAAGTCACCCGTCACCAGGGAGGTTTATTCTAAAGTGTGACAGGAGAACATTTGAGGAATAATCAGGGGATTGATTCAAGGATGTTTGGAAGCCACTAAATATCATTTAGAGGACGATTTAATCCATCGTTAGAAAATGTGAGGAACAAGGCTCATGCATAAGCGACTCTGCAACGAGGAGACGAGTGATTGAGACACCTGTGACTTCCTCTGGTTCTGATTCTGTAATCTATAGTTATCGACAGTACAGTTTAACTGAGGCCACTGGGATGTGTCAATAAGAGTAGTCTGCTGATTTTAAATCCTGCCACTGGTATGCTATCATTACCAAAGATTCATCCTCTGAGGACTACGAATGTGAGAACAGTCCATCCATTAGTAGAAGAACTTTAACAATGGAACCAGATCACAGTGACATCGGAGTGGCTCAGCACTGGTTAACCAAATAAAATACATGTTTTACATTAGAATGAAGAAACGTTCATGTGATAATAGAATGTAAATAATACGTTGAAGGGTTGTGATGATGTACCAACAGAACACAAAGACGTTTCTCAGACCTGGAGGAGACATGCTGTACTCTGTGTTCTGGTGGGAAACATTGTGTGTGAATGAAATAAAATACCACAGGGTGCCTTTAAATACATGTGTTGGTATCAAGCTGAGCATTGCGGGTTTTCTCACATGTGATTTTGTACTTGTATTTGGGGTTTTTATTGAAATACGCCCGCTTCAGAACACGACTCTGCAGTTGTTTATGACTTCATAAAACTCTCCTTCCAGGAGGTGTAGTCCTGCATGTGTTTTCTCTCATATTTAATAAATTCTATTCAATTTATTCGTCATATATGGTAAAGGACAGGACAAAATGTTCAGTAACATCAGCCTTCATATTTGTGTAAGAGCATAAACAAATCAAAAATGGGAACTGGTCCAATGTTACACAATGTACGGATCTACGATCAGGACTTGTTTTGCATCCTCGCTGTGATAAGTTCGAGACCTACTATATGGGGCAATAAGACACAGAAATACGCTCACTTTAGATGGAAAAGCAAACGAATACTGGAGATGACCTCCCTGTACTCTCAGATCAGCCTCAGTTCTGGATGTCCACACGCTGCTGGACGCCTCTCTTTGACATTCTGCTCCATGTTGACATGATTTCTGCAGATTTGTCAGTTGCACGTTCATATGTTGTTCTACCGCATCCCAAAACTGTTCTTTTGGATTCAGATCTGCTGCACTGTGAAACCAGTGTACAGGAATGAACAGTTGTGCAGGTACAGCTGTGGACAAACGCATCCTTACGCTCATGAAAACCACATCTATCACGGTGGCTTTGATTTTCCAGTGACTCCTACTAAATTTGTTTTCTGGCACAGATTTGCTTCGTCATCTCAGCACACAGGTTCTCGATGAGGTTTAAGACAGGACTTTGGGAAGACCCGTCTAAAACCTCACATCTAGCCTGATTTAGTCCTTTCCTTACTACTGCTGATGTGGGGTAATTGTAACTGCATCCAAGACCGAGCCTTCTGCCTGATGATTTTTGATTTTTTCTTAAGAATTTGGAGGTAATCCTCAGTCTTCATTATTTCATTTACTTTGTGTACTGGAGCCAAAGCAGCCCAGATCATGATGCTGCCACCCCCATGCTTGATGGTAGGTTTGGTGTTCTTTGGGTTAAAGGCCTCACCTTCTCACCACCCAAACATCTTGTCATTGTGGCCAAATAACTCCATTTGTGACCCATCTGCATGAAATCAGTCGCATTGCGGCTAAAAAGCGGCATGTTGCTACCATGTGACGTAAATCACGGGACAGGACTGGTTGGCGGTGACACATTGCTCACGGCGCACACGTGATGTCTGCAGCTTCTTTCTTGTGTTACTGCTCATGCACGCTGACGGTGTTTGACAGTGATATGCAATGTAATATTATTACTCTCTGTAATATTATGTTACCTGCATGTAGGAAACAACTAACTTTAAGTAATAAACCCCAAATCAATACGTTATCATGTGTTAACTGTTAAGATTTCAGTCTGGGCAGGATCCAAAAATGCAACAGAGGGGTTCTGTCTGAAGCAAAAAGGATTTATTGGTGGCTGTGGGGAAAACGGTGGACACCAGGAAGCATGTGAGGTTTGCTGAGTGAGGGAGGGTTTTCCAGGAGAGGTTTCCAAAGGGACCGGGACACAGAGCTGCTGTGGCTGGAGCTTGGCTGCAGAAGGCTGGGCCCTCCGACGGGGAGGCTTTGATATCAATGCAGACAAAAGCACAATTAGAACAAAACGAGACTTCTCTTAGCAAACAGTTCCAAAGACAACTGGCTGGCTTGTTACCACTCGGAGGAGGAACAATCCACTGGAGCACAGGTGGAGGCAGGCTTTATCCAGAGCTGATTAACGACGAGCTTCAGGTGTGGCAGAGAGCGAATGCGTCCTGTCCCGTCCAGAAGCCCCGCCCAGCCTGAAACGACTTGCAGCCCCCAACACACACAGATATGCACTATCACACACTTATCAAAAAACACACAAAAACTCAGATCACCACATTAACATCATTCGGGCTGTATCTCACATGTAGCTCAAGGTGCAATGCGCTGATTTAGTGTAGATGAGTCACATTTTTGTTTCATCTGGCCACAAAACGTTCCTCCAGGAGGCCTTTTCTTTGTCCATGTGCAGGAGCAAAGTGTCACCAGAAACTTCAGTCGAGCTTTCAGGAGCTACTTTTAGATGAAGGGCTTCCTTCGTGTGCTGCAGCCTCTCAGCTCACGTTGATGCACTGCTTTCAACCTGTCACCTCACTAATCTACACACATCACATTATCTACACAACATTAACTATGTATGTATGTATTTGTTTTTATTTATTTTATTTTTATTTATTTTCTTTTGCTTTTCCAACTGTTTGTTCTGTTTTCTTTAGTTTGACTTATTCTGTATACTTGTATTTGCTTTTTTTTCTATTTGTTTTGTTTTTATTTTTAACATGTAAAGCGTCTTTGAGTTTGTGAAAAGCGCTCTATAAATAAAATGTATTATTATTATTATGTAAATCACACTGACACATGTGTTTCTGTAGCTTCTGATTCATTGCAGACCTGCGTTGTGGTGACGCTTGTTTTATTCTTGACCATCCTGATCAATTGTCTCTCAGCTGCAGCAGATGCTTTGTGTTTTCTTCCTGATTGTAGCAGTGATACAGCTGTACCTGCACTTTATGCGTACAAGTAATTGTTTGCACTGATCATTATGGGATCTGTAGCTGCTTTGAAATGCCTCCAAGTGACAGTTTGCTTTTTTTTTGGCTTGATTTACTTTTTCAGATCTGAACTGAGCTGTTTGTGGCTGAATCTAATCAGCGTATTAAATGAGCTCAGAGGAGTCAGCAGCTGTCATCAATCGTAATCACTCACAAGAAGTTAAGAGTCCACTGAGAAAGTTTGATTAACACGACTTTGTGCTTCACTCAAACTGATCATTCTAGTTGCTGAATGTATGTTTATGACCCTGCAGATTTTGTCATATTTCCAGAAGACTAATAATAAATCTATGAAAGAACCAAAGTGATTGTTTTTGTGATAAAGATGCTTCATCATAGAAAGGAGTCAAACTTATTATATACATGGTCCTTACAAGTGCATGTAAACTTTTGTTCACAGCTGTCAGAGCAGCAACTCCAACACAGCTCCACAGTCATGATGATTTCAGTGTTTGTATTGAAAAGCAACTCGAGCAGAGAGGAATGTCGCCATATTGGGTTTATCTCTTTATTAAAACATCCTGGGCTCTTTCTTCAGACAGTGCACTGCGTTTCAGTTCACAAAAGTCCACGCAGCCGGCATGGAGGCCAATTTGATCGATCCCTCCAAAGCCTGGTGCATAAAAACACGAAACGCTTTCACTTATAAAAATACAGACGACAAGAGAAGCCTGCCAAAATATATTACAGCTTCATATACAAATATATAAATGTACAATCAATAAATACAATGAGATGTATTATGGCTATCATGTAGGTCAGTCCAACACAAATTACAAAGGCTTGAATGCTGTTTTTTTTTTTTTGTTTGACCTCTCAGTGTAATAAAAGGGCTTTTTGAGGACTGAGCTTGTTCAGTGAGGTAAACTGTTTCAGGTGAGACGCTGTCGATCATTCATGGAACTGTTAAAGGAGCACTGGAACATTTAAAAAAGTTCATTGTCATGACAAAAAACTAAAGAATGCAGTTCCCGACTGGAACGCAATCTCAATGACCTAAACATCTAAACGGCTGCAGGGGACAGAGAGCCTTTTTAAAGTGACCTGTGACACAATAACCAAACGCAATCAAAGAACAACCAAGGCTTCCAGAGATCACATATTAGCACATAACTCATATTTAAGAAAATACTGATTAAGGTATTTACAAAGACCGCTGTGTTTGTCCATTCAGTAGATAGTAAAATGCTTCTTTGGTCCCTGTCGATTGTTGGCAATTAGTGGTTAAGTAAAGATTGGGCACAAAAATGATCATGTTGCACATTTAAAAAACAAAAAACAAAGATGTGCCTGACATATGCCTGTCACTCTGAATCATTTATACATTAACATAATCCAAGCTCACATAGGCACAGAAAACACATCGCTTCAAAATATATCGGTATAAACAGTATGTAGAGGATACAAAAGCATAAACAATGATTACAAAGCAGCAAAAGCTACTCAAAGTGTATAATAAAAAAAAGGGCGCACATCATCAAAAAAACAACAGAAGCCGGCGACTTTTTTTCAGCAGCAGAGATTGCAGAGACGTGAGGGATGAGGTTGTGTTGGTTGCACTGGGAGTCGAGGCGGGAAGAAAAAAAGAGGAAGAAAAAAAGCACAGCGTTCATTACGGGTCCAGTCGTTTGCAGAAGGCTTTCCCAGTGTTTGCTTCCATCTTTGGCTGCGGAGGATGTAGAGATGGACGATGTGCATGACGGCTGTTCAAGTGCAACTTCAAGCGTCGTTCTGGCCGAACAGACTCCCCTGTGTTTTCAGCTTGTGCATCCTGGAAAGAAGAGAAAGTAAAGTCAGTCAGAAGTCAGCAGCTCGGGTTCCTGCTGGTTCTAACACCTGATGTGCCCAATCCTGGTCCTCGAGAGCCCCTATCCTGCATGTTTTAGATGTTTCCCTCTTCCAACACACCTGATTCACATGATCAGGATCGTTATCAGGCTTCTGCAGAGCTTGATGATGAGCTGATCATCTGAATCAGGTGTGTTGGAAACATCTAAAACATGCTGGATCGGGGCTCTCAAGCACCAGGATTGGACACCCCTGATCCACTGGTTCCCTGTTTATTTTAGAATTAATTTAATTGCTCACATTTAACCTACATAATAGAAACAGGAATGGGCCAGATGCAGCCTTTGAGCCTCAGGTTGGACCCTTCTGACTTTTCCAAATCTAAAGTTCACCATGTTTCTGACATCAGGACCCCGTAGCTGAGCAGATAAAGCTGCAAAATCAAAGTTTTATCTAAATCACTTCTGGATATTTTGACATTTTTGGTGCTTTTAATATGTTATTTGAATTAATTTGTGTTTATTTTATTCATTCAGTTATACTGAGATTCTGTATTTTGCATTTTGTATCGTTTATCATTGAATTTCTCTTCTGGGATAAATAAAGTATTTTTCGTTTCATTTCATTTAAGGGTTTTGCTTTTCAACTTTTTTGGCCTGAAAGGCTTCATGTTGTAATGTTGTCTTTTTTTTCTGACTTTTGTCAAAAGCACCTTTAAAGGACCTGTGTAAATAAAGTTATTAACATGAGTTATTAATATTAATGTGAGAGTTTCTGCCTCCGTTAACACAGGACACACAGGCTCCGTGTTGGATTCTTACAGTCACTGGAAGAAACTGTGTGAGATCTAGAACATAATGTAAATTTAAATTTGATGGATGTATCATAGCAATATGTATATTTAACTTTTGTGTAAAATAATTGATTAAGTTGATCAAAAAATGTGTCTAATTATTCAGCTCTAATCGTGCCTCATCTTTTATCTCTTGTTATGTTCCAGCTTCATATCAGATATGAAAAGACAAGATGAGTTTGTGTGTTGCAGAAACAATAAAAGGTCGGAGATGTTGGAGTTCTCTACACGTCTCTGTACATTCACAGCTCGTGTCTGGGTGATACCAACAACTGAAGGATTTTATCTAAACGAGAAAACGTTTCAGAGCGACTTACAGTTTTTCTTTACGGTTCATGTTGTCTTCTTTTGACTTGACAAAGACTGCATCTTCTCCTCCCCTGACAAGGTAGGTGAACTCTCCTTCCTTTGCACTGAAGATCACCCTGAAACCAAACAGAGAAAAACAACCATTCTTTTAGATGCTGTCAGGCTTTTCACCGCCACAGACTGTCTTTTCTGTGTCGACTGAGAACCTACTTGGACTGAGTCTCCCCAGACTTGATGCGAAGTTTCCGGATGTGGAACTGGCTGCTGCCCCACCAGCTGGACCAGCTGATGATGGCGTCGTTCTCCCAGCGCAGCTTCACGATCATCAGGTCCCCGATGTCCACGTCGGTGGTGATGAGGAAGGACAGAGTGGAGTTACCGTCCAGGACCGGTCTGCAGGGTTCAGAGAAGGAGAAACGTCAGCCGTGAAGGCATCTCCGGCATGTGAGCGTGTTATCAGAAGTGATACGAGGTCCACACGAGGGACTTGATGCTCCTTATTTAGAACCAGGTGGTTGCAGAACACTGTTGTGGATCACCTGTTTACTGTTTCTTGTGATCTACACATGCACGGCTGTGGTTTAAAAGAACAGTTAAATGTGTACGTACAGGACAAACGAGATGCCCTCCTTCTCTCCGTGGGTTCCGTACAGTGAAATCTTCATCGGCTGCTCCCTGAAGCTCAGCGGATCTTTGCTGAAGAAATGTGCCTTCACTTGGTAGTGGAAAACTGCGGAAACACCATTTTACACACTTTACACAACCTCTGTCAGAGTTCCCAACAACTCTCGTAACACGACTTAAAGTTCTAAAACTCTGTAAGAACCTTTATGTAACCTTGATCGTTCCCTGTCTTCATGTGACTCCTACAAAGCTGTGTTTACACACAGATTCCTGCTCGCTGACTTCACCCTCAGATATTATACCTGCTCCTGCATCTTTAACATCTTTAAACAACATCTTTCGCATTCTGTCAAATAGCATCGTTCTGCAGAAAACATTTTTCCACTGCTGGTGAATCACATGCAGCGGGGTCGGGTTACCTCAGCATACCCTCCAGCCACCAAAATACCCATGACCTCCTCTTCTCGTGACCTCCGGCTACTTGTTGTACATGTGTGCTGACATTAAGCGTTAGCTCGCACACTAAGGATTACTTTAATTAGGTATGCACATGAATTAGCTCAACTCCCAGTAATCCCTGGTAAAGCACATAAATCCAGACAGATTTTTCTGCAGTAGTTTGGTGTGTTTCATGTCTGTTTCTTGCACTGCAAGGAGCACCACCTGTACTTTTCCCTGACAGATACCAGATTCTCTTTATGAATTTTCCTTGACATTTACCTTTGTACGGCATCATTTCGCGAGTCTTGAGGTACATCTTGGCGCTGCGGGCCGTGCGGATCTTGTTGATGTTGTAGCCGAGCGTGTTGCACCGGTTCTTCCTGCAGCTGAGGCACAGTCCCTTGTTGAAGGCCTCCTTGGAGGTGCAGCGGTAGGCCATGCTCTGCTGCTGGGTGTTCAGCAGAGAGTCGATGAACAGGTGGATGGAGCGCTCGTGGGAACATTTCACGAGCTGGTCCATGTCTGCAGCACAGAAAGCAAACCTCTCAGATGACGAACCGTGAAAAATCACTTCCTCGTGTCTGTGTCTTTACATTTTCTACACATGGCGTCCGAACGCCGACCCAGAGGGCAGCTCTCGCTTGGTTCTGCATTGCACGGTTAAAACACAAGCGGCAAAACATCACGCAGGACTTTAATCTCTGTGACGCACTGTGTCTGTGTTATGACTGCAGGCAAACATAGTTTAAATGCAGCCCTGAAGCTTGAATGGAGTCGCAGTGTGTTGACACCATGTAAAGTTATAGGAACTTATCTCGATGATTTACGACGCTGTTGATGCAGATGTTTCACATTGAAGTGAGCTGAGATGTATATTTATGGTTAACAAAGGACAAGTGCAGATGAGAGCATGTGTCACTACATGCACTCCGTGGTGCTTCAGCTTAAAGTTACGTAACCGTGCGGTTTAATGAGAAATACCAAGTTGCTGGTCGTTTGGTTGCAGTGTGGACTTTGACTGTGAGTTTGCAGTATTCAAATCAAAGCGTATCTCGAGCCAACATACTTTGGAGGCCCTTGATGCCAGCTGAGGCAATCCCCAGCAGGGTGTTCTGGATGTCGCAGCCCGGCTGGAAGGTGCCTCCGTTGGGGTAGATGTCGATGTGGCCCACTGGTCTCTGGATGCCGATGCTGCGGTCCGGGGAGCCCCTGGTGTTGGTGTGCAGGACGTCCACGAACTGGGCATCGCCTCGGCTCAGAGTGCTCTGCTCGTCTGCGTGCTCGAAGGTGGGACCGGCAGGGTCCAGACCTGGGGAGGTGACAGACAAACAGAGGGCTTGTTTTAGCTAATTGTGGCCACCCTGAGCACTGAGGACGCAGCAGCAGAATCACCTCTACGGACTGATTTAGTCATAAAACAGCTCAGCGTGTGTTTGCTTCAGCGTTTGTCTGCCTCGTGCAGCTCTGCAACAAGCTGATCGTGGGCTCTTAACGGGCTCTCACCATCATTCTAAGCAGGTCAGAGAGATTTCAAAGCTGGATAAAGTTCATAGTGACAAATACGGGGATTGGACCCGCTAACTGGCACCGACTGGCTGCGTGCACACATGCAGCACAATGCAGCCCTGGAATGCAACAGCCAACAGATTATGTTTCACTGGTGGCTGTTTTCAGGAGCAGGGCTGCAGAGAAAAGTGCCCGTATATTATGGTATGTTTACATGCATCAGGTCTGAGACGAACTTAAAAGTATTTAACAGCAGGTCAAAGCATTTACAGCGTCGACACGTGACTCCATCTGAACTGTAACAGGCAGGTTTGTCTACTTTGCTGCAAGAATCAGCCAATAAGAACATCGTACTGTTAGATCTACAATAAAAGCAGATGATGATGATCCATGAGTGAAGTTGATGGTATCTCACCTGTGATCCTGCTGATTTTATGATCAGTGAGATCTCCGGCAATTCCAGCCACATGTGCTCCCAGACTGTAGCCCAGCAGATGAAGCCTCTCCCACGGCAGCTGCAGCTCTTTCTGAGGGCGATGAGACGCATGAAATGTGTCAGAAAGACGTATTACACGCCTTAAAACAGTTTAAAGAGAATCCTGCAGACTGGCTGGAGGGATTACAGCTAACAGTGTGCTGTACCTGGCAGAGCTCTGCAGCACTCTGTTAAATCTGAAGGGAGTTTTGGACTTTATCCAAAACAAGGATTATTTTGTGTAATTTTATGCTTTGCAAGCTTTAAACTTGGGAAGTCACGTAAACAAAGGACAAACACATGAGAGCATTACCCATGCCAATGGCCCTTTGTGCCCCTTTGTGCCTTGAAGTGGTTCAAACAAAACCTGCGCTCAACTAAATAGTGAGCCTTGTAAAGAGAGGCTGCTGTGAGCCACAGACGCGGCCATAAAACGCCTTTATAGGCGTTTAAAATCATAACCAGTAGGGAAACATATCCGCAGCAGCACCGCTGGGCACAAAGCATTACATCATGAGCAACTCACTTCAGACATTTCTCTCATTTCTCTGCCAGAACAAGACACTGTTTAGATAATTTGGTTGTAAAAAAGCAGAATCCTCTTGTTTGTGACAGATCCAGCGTTCACTGGCTGCAGACCAGCTGGGATTCTCCTCCACTCACCTGCAACCAGGTCACAAACTTGGCGACGTCGCGGCCGACCAGTTTGGTGTAGGCTGCCGAGGTCGGGTAGTGCTGGTTGGCCCGGGTCAGCCAGTCCACCACGATCACGTTGGCAGTGGGAACGCGCTCGTGCAGAGCCGACACCAGTTTGGGCACCCAGCTCTCAAACATCCCCGTTACCTGAATAACACACAAACACACACACACTCGGGGTCACACACAGGTCTGTGGTCAGCTGCAGGGTGGCGTGATTTATCCGGCCTTAGACCTCCTTCTGTGTCCTGGTGCTGGAGAGCAGCCAAGGCATCATCAGGTTCACATTTTGCTGCATGACTGACTTTAAATCACATTATAGGAGAAGATGCATGAACTGTTTGCAGCTCTGCCTCCTCGGCCTGGTTCCTCTTAAAAACATAGTCATTGTCATAATCTTCTCAGCATATTTTAGAGACTGTAATCAGTTTGGACTTCTCCCAACATTCTTTGAGTATTTCAGGTTTATCCATCATATCACTGGACAGTTTTATTCCAGCTGGGGGTGGAGAAGCCTGACTCTGATATGATTTTTTACTGTAATTATAGAAGAAATACAGCGTGTTTATTGTGACGTACCGTCCAGCCGTGAATTATGATGAAGGTCTGCGTCTCTGGATTGAATTCACACTCTTTGATGGTTTCGGGCCTCCCGGCCACGATGTAGCACATGTCATCATCTGGGATTTCCAGAGTGCGCAGGGAGAACTTGGACACGATGTCAGTGTAGTTGGTGATCCATTCGGTGGTGGTGGGCAGCGGAGTGGCCGTGACCGTGGAGTTTACTGTTGAAACACAAACAGAGGTGGATTATTGTGGTAAAATCACAAATGCAGGAGTGCATTCAGCAGCAGAATTAGTACAGGTCCCGGTTTTATGCAGGTGTAAACCAATAACAGAGCAGCTTGATGTTCTGCTTCATCAAAAATGCACACGCACAAGACCAAAGAACAAACTTCTTCATCCACCTTGTTGCTTTTCCACCAGAGAACCAGCCGGGACATAAAGCATGACAGTGTCGCCCCCTTTTGTCTCCTCTGATTTTCTACCAGCTCAACTTCCACAAAGACTGAAGATATTGTTTAAAAAGCTGGACTTCCTCACAGCAGAGTTGAGCGACTTTTATTCAAACTGGATTCTGAAAAAGTTGCACAATCCGGTTCTTTAAGAGAAAAAACTCTGCAGCCTAAAATCATCAAAACAAGCCTAAAAAATCTGGGAAAGGCCATTAAAATGTGTTTCTGACTAAACGTTAGATATTGGTGTGTTTTTCTATTGATGTTTAGAAAATAATGTAATAAAAATGTGATGAAATGAGCTTTTAAAATTCTCTGTTTCTCAGTGCTATTGTGTGTTCAGACAAAAGGCTTGAAGCTGCTTCATGCACACATGGAGCTGCTGAATGCTGTGAAATGGGATGCAGACCTGCAGACCTGAACTCTTTTCACGGGGTTATTCTCGGTCAACCCGGAACATCCTGCATTAATTAACCTGCTTGCACATATGTTTACTTCATCAGAGCTGCGTCTCCATAAAAACACACCCTAAAACTCTGCATCTCAGTAAATCAAGGAGCATTTTTAGGTCTTTTCTTACCAAAAACTGAGGTGGTTGTTTCAGGGTCTGAAGAAAAAGTTCCAAAAATGTTTCCCAAAATTATCCAAACTGTCAAAAAGCAAATATTTTCTTTTCCCATATTATTAAAAATTTCTTTAAAATCCTGGATTTAAAATAAAAAGTTGTGGTTGTAAATCCACCGGAAGGCTTCAGTCAGCGGTCACACAGTGGTGAGGAGCTGTGGCTGGAGACTGAACTTTCTTATGGTCTGTCACAGTTGCAGGCTCCAAGTCATCTTTATGTGTGGCTCATTTGAATATTTAGAGATGATTGGCTGGAGGTTCGAGGGCGGAGAGTAAACTTTGTCCCAGCTCCTGAGGGGGGGGAGGAAGAGATCATTCACAAGCTCCCTCACAGGAGAGCCGAGCTGCAGGAGGTTCCACTTACACGCCGCCACCATTCAACCATCAATAACGCTGGTCGGCTCTGGAGCAGTCAGAGGGAAAGTACCTCAAACTGTCTCTGCAAAGTTCATCACATGAATCAGAATCAAGCAGTTCTCACACAGGAGGAATCTGCTGGAGATTTGGGTTAATGCAGTACATGCTGACAAGTAGGGATTTTTTAAAGGATAAAAAGATTTAAACAGGAACAAAGTGTTTCAGGCCAAATAAACAGCAAGTGGAGCCAAAACAAGCAATTAGAAGTAATAAAAAGTCATAGAAATGTTTACAGTGTGCAGAAAGGTGCAAAAATATTCAGTTGAGAACGTTCAAATTTATGTAAAATATGGTGCAAACAACATAAGATGTTCAAAGATATTGTAATAAATCCATTTAAAAAGCTAATGCGACGCTCATTTTATGTTATATTAAGGTTTTTTTAACAGCTACTTGGAAAGTGTGGTGAGCTGCAGCTTACACGACATTAAATACAGATTCATCTCCGGCTCTTTATTATTTATGAGCTGTGACATTTTTCTGTTGCTTCTAAAGAATATTCTTCTTTAACGTCTTATTGTTTTTGAGGAAGAGTCACATTTTACTGCACGTCCTGTGTGAGCATGAGGAAGATAAAAACGCCTGAATCTTTAATCTGAAGCTGCCTTCAGAGAAATATAATTCCCCTCCTGACCACTAGATACCGTTAATTTTCATTTAGTGGTCTGTGGCGTTGTGGTCTGAAGAAAATCAGAAGATCTGGTTTTGAGGCATTTTAAAATCAAAGAGGAGGATTTTTTTTAGGGAAAACACCCCAGTGAGCATCAATGACTGTCGATACGATGGCTCAGATTTGTCATACATCTCTTCTTTCTTTCTTTTTTAAGTGAAATGTCAGTTATTGTAGTTGTGATCTGTTGTGATTTAATTTAACTGAACCATAAGTCTTGTGCACATGTTATACTGATATTCATATATGGATATATGAATATCAGTATAACATAGTCATATATATATGTTTATATTAGCTCTTGTATATTTTTGTTCTGCTTTCTTGCCGTTTGCATATAGAACGTTAAAACCACTGGAAGGTCAAGATAATAACATCCATCTTCTCGTTACAGCGCCACCTTCTGCTGGGAAGCCTCAGGTCCTGCATTCACCTGGATGCCGCGTTGACACGTAGCTACCAGCTAAACGACCAAGTGAACGGACTCACATGACAGCGACGCTCGATGACGCCAGCAGGACTTCACCTCGATTACACCACAGTGTGAACACAAACAGCTGCAGACGAGCAGGAAGTCACTGTTATTATATGACTTTATTAGTCTGCTTAGAGGAGTCATACGTCTGCGTCAGGGTGTATCTACGTATTCCACATGATTGCTTTTTAATGAATATTCCTGTTACTTGTAATTAAAGATTTGTTATATCACAGGGATAATATATTATCATTGTTTCCAGTAGGGGCTGCACGGTGGCTCGGTGGTTAGCACCGTCGCCTCACAGCTAGAAGATCCCCGGTTTGCATCCCGGTTAGGACGGCTGGGATCTTTCTGTGTGGAGTTTGCATGCAGTGTGGGTTCTCTCCGGGTTCTCCCAGAGTCCCAAACCATGCTGAGGTTAATTGGTGATTCTGAATTATTCGTTGGTGTCAATGTGAGTGGATGTTTCCAATAGCATCCCAGATACTTCATCCTCTATGTGAATTATGCAGTTAATTATGGTCACATCTAGTTGCATTCCAAGAGACAGGACGTCCTCGTTTGCATAAGTTGAGGACTCGTCAACTTAATGCAAATGAGGAGAGTCGAGCAGGCAAACACCTCACACAACCCTCGTAGTGTTAGCGTTAGTCTGAGATGAAGACAGATTCCACAGCTTGTTTCTCACCTCAGATGTTTTCAGAAATACATTTCGCTGAACTGTTTTTGTAATAAAAGTTTCCAAGCGAGCCGCCATGTTGGTTTGAAATCCAAAGCTGGGAGCCTCCGAGTGAAGCATCGTCTAACCAGATGCAGCCGTAGGGGGCTGAATCCTGAGCTGATTCAAGCATCGAGCGTCCCATGTTGGGAAGCCTCATGTGGAAAGACCATCATTCCTCTTTATTATATCAGATTCTATGATCAATCCTCTGAGGGCCTGAGAGGAAGGGGTCACCAGGGGTCACCAGGGGTCACCAGGGGTCATAGATGACAATGTGAGAAGGTAAGAAGATTCAGAGGGGAGTTGGATCGATGTTCGTCATCTCCTGCGTGGATTGTTTAAGCTTAGGTGCAGTTTTTGAGAAGACAGAACATTGAGTCCCTCCATCTGGAAATCCGTGCATACATCCGAGACCCCCCCCAGACAGATCAGAGGGGTGTGGGTGTGATCCAGATCTTCTCCTCCCATTGGCGGACCGCTAATCTGCAGCTCGGACACAATGACAAAGCACCACCGGATGTCAAACGATACCACAGCGTCTTGTCCCGTGCCCTCCGATGTTAATAAAAAGTAAAGAAAAGCACATCCTGCCTTATGTCATGTCGAGCAGAAATGAGAACAAGATGTCTGGTCACACAGCGAATACTTGGTGGTGGCAGTTAAACCCGTTTGTGGCGCCCTGAGGGGCACCGAGGAGAGACAACAGAATAATGAAAACCACGTGGAAGATACGTCCAGGCATGAGAGAAATGTGCCCGTCTGAGTTTTATGGTGATTTTGATGCCAAAACACCTGCATGGAAATATTTCACACCTTTGTTCTGTCCAGATCCAAACGTCCAGACTCCAAACCGTCACCCTGACATGTTCTCGTACAGTATTGTCTGCAGAGAGCTTTGGTTTACACATGTGGTACCCATGATGTTGTTTAATCTGCAGGCGTGTTATTCTTTTAAATCTGATAAAACAAACTAAATGAGATTTGCAGATGGACACTAGGGAGCTGTATCAACTTACCGGAAATAAAAAACGCAGCAGAGTTTCAAGTTAGTTGATAAAAAGTGAACTCCTGCGCAGCAAATTCTTTCTTTAGACTTTTTGATGTAACGCTCCCCATAAGCATCTACAAATATTCTGTTGAAGGCAATGCACCTAATAAAATCATACAAATACACTCTATAGTATGTATTTTTTATCATTAGAGGAGCAGCTGGGTGTCAAACAGCCACTAGAAGAATGCCGGGACTCAGAACTAACCACGCTGTGCTGATTCATAAATAACAAAATGCAACTTTAGCAGCACAGAATGAATCCAAAAGACAAACAACACTAACAGAACATTGAACTTCTGGTCTCTTGAAGTGTTTAAAGTGTCCATATGGTGCTGTTTATACGCTGGAGGACACATCATGAGCAACATAAGCCGTCAACACCATGACTTTCTCCTTAAAGCTGCAGCGTACCGACAGCGAGCATCAACTCCAGCACCGCCAAAGTATCATCATCCTGGAACCGGTTCTGGTTCAACCATTCAGACTGCTGGGTTGGTTTCCTGAAACCTTTCCAAATGGCAGAGGGAGTGTTGGCAGGTTAGACCGAACAAAAGAGATGCAACAACAAACCGAGTAGGTGGCCTGAAGCTCTGTCAGCGTCCAGCACAGTGGCTTCAGGAAATGTCAGCGTTGTTCTCTCTGTCTAGACCAGAACCTGACACAAGATTAAAACTCACATCAGGTGCTTTCAGTCTTGTTCAACACAGATTCCATCTACCAAGGTTCATATGTAACAAATCTAAAGAACCAAATCTAATAAACTGCAGATTTCTGTGTCATTAATCTTCTTTAGAGTCGGTTTCTGGGTGAAACACGTACGATTGAGTTACTCCAATAATCTTAACTTTCTGCTCGTGCAGTGGGGTCTGAGTCGAGTGTAGGTGAGCTGGTGTGCTGGAGCTGCAGCCAGTAGAGAGGTGTGGACGGAGAAAGAGGCAGGAACGGTTTAGATTTGCACATTTTAAAGCCATCAACACTCTATTTGGGTTTTTATCAGAGTGGTAATCTTCTAAAAAGCTTGAAAAAAAAGTTTGATAATACTTTGGCATTTATAATTAATTATGTTTAGAAACCTGATGTATTGGAATTATTCACACTAAATGACCAGAAGCTATTTTTGAGCCTCTAATTACTTTGTGCATCATAATAAGGTATGTAAAATCAAAAGATAATTTAAATGAAATTCAACAACGAAGAGCGTTAAGATGACAAACCCTGAGCTGATGTGGATTCAAAATAAAAACAACTCATGAAAGACTTGTCGGCAGTAATTAGCTGCTGCTCTATTGTTTGCTTTCTCTAAATGTAGCGCTCAGTTTTCTTTATCTTCCACGTTCATATATATACATACATATATATATAGAGATAGATAATCGTGTGTGTGTGTTTAGGTGTGTGTTGTTTGTGTGTCGGGAAGGTGATGCTTAAGGCCCGACCAGCGGCCCAACCCAGTGATTAGCAGCAGAGCAACGCCTTCCCTCAGCCTCTCATCTCAGCCTCCATCTCCTCTTGTGCTGTGGTTTCTCTGCTTGACCCGGAGGGAGGCCGGTGGAGATAAACGACAGGGCAGAAATGAATAAATATCCTGTATGAGACACGCCCGGGCGACATCATCCATGTTCAGCGCCACGGAGGCTTTATTTTTAGACTCGAGCTTTCTCAGCAGCTTGTTAAGAGGCGGTTGGAGGAAGAAGATTAAAACGCAGCAAACAGGCCAGAGTTTCCTAACCTGCGTCTTGTTGCGGTTTAATGTCATTCAGTCAATTAGTTTTGGCTTTGAACCCGCGAGCTGCTGAGGAAATTAAAAGATCACTGCAGAGAGAACATAGATTTCCTGCTGGGGAGGAATTC